ACATGACCTACACACCCTCTGGACGAACAGATGTGGCCCCCAAATCTAAATATTGCAACTGTTCGTTCAGGGGCACAACTGTGACCTTTGACATTGGCTTTTTGTTTTAGTTAGGATGTCTTTTGACCCAGAGAACATGTCCTTTGATCTGCTTTCATGAGTTGGGCCCTGGCGAGTGACCCCTCAATGATGCATTTGCCGAACAGGGTCTGAATCGGGTAAAGGCCCTTTTATTAGAGGGTAAATTAGTCCAGAGGAGCAGTTGAAGGGGGTGCTCTGGGAGGGGAGACGAGAACAAACTATCCCATAGTGCTGCTGCTCTTGCCCAATACTCTGTGGCTTCTTTACAGTTAATTAGGCAATGTATCACGTCTTCCTGTTCTTGGTCTGAGCAGACTGCACAGATATCAGAGCTGGTTGGATCATTCTTTCTTCTTCTGACATGTAGCCATTGATTGACCGGTAGAGCAACATATGTTATGAGCCACTATAGGTCTTATTGTTTTATATTTTCCCATGGGATTTTTGCATCTGGTCTGCATCCGAACCAATTAACTTGCTCCATCTTCCTTTGATTGTTGGGTCTGGGTCCTTTGTTTTTAACAGCATCTTGTAACCCAGCTTGACTGTGTACTCGTATATTGGAATTGGTGGTTTGGTGGTTCTGTTTCGGTCGGGGGACCAAGCCCACTCCGAGGGATCAAACTCGAGGTCATGAATTGCTGTCCCTGTTGGAAATATCTGCTTTGGCCAGAGTCCTAGTGTTCTTATTTTACAAAGAGTACGAGAGGCCTATTTTGGGCTTTTCACGCAACTGGGAATTTCAGGCAGTTGCGCAGCGCCAGTTGGTTGAGTGAGCCCAGGCCTTGCGTGCCTTTTTCCAAATGTACTTGAGGCAGGCCCTGGGCCAGACACGGGGCATGGACTGAACACAGGCCGCTGGCAGTTGGACATGGGTAACCACCCCAGGCCCTGTGTCTGATTCCCTGGGACAGGGGCTCAGCCACTTGGGGCCTACCGGAAGCTTCTGGGCAGGGGCTCAGCGCAGCCAGGCAGCACACAGCAGGCAGACCATTTCCATAAAGGAAAGTGCCTGCCTCCGCATTCGGCATTCGGGCACTTGCTACTTGCTGCGCTATCGGCAGGCAAGCGCCCACGCGCTCACAGGCGAGCAGGGCACACGCAGGCAGCCATAGCCGAGCTAGCCTGCGAGATGCTGGATGGGGCGCATGGTGGTCCTTTGGTGCACGTGACATCTGTGTGGGGGATCGAGGTTGTGAGTGAAGTGTGAGACATACCTGGTGCTTCAGGCGAACGGCATTGGCCGAGATCTGCTTGTACTACGGGAAGCTGTTGACGTCCCCAGCAGCATTGTCGATAGGCTAGATAGGATCTGCCATTCGTAGTCTGGGCGCTGAGCGCCAGATAGGAATTCGACATTGGTTCATTCTTGATGATGATGTAGTCTCCAGCATTGTCACTTGTGAGCTTTTGCTGTGCTCTTATTTGGTGGAACTCGAGCTGCAATTCTGCTTTTGGTTCGAGGTCAAGACTATCTGGTTTCATGTGTATGATGCTGCTTGGTTTCTGGAATTCGCTATCGCTCATATTCCTTGCTTAGTGGTGGTTTAACGGCCTTGATTGTGGTGTGCTATTGCCTTGTGCCTGGTCATTATGATGGATAATTTGATGGACTGAAGGGGCCCCCTGCCTCCCCGTGCCCAGAGGCCATGCTAATCTACTCTGTATCAGTCCAATTTTAACGGATGTCCCGAAGGGAAGTGACACAGAATTCAAAATTCGTAGACTGAACCTACTACCTCATTGATTGGAGTGCCGACAATGTGAAAGCAGATGCAACGTCAGTGCTCTTCTTTCTTGGTCTGAAGTTTTGAACTACTTTCACATTTTATGGAATCCAGAAACAAGGCAGTCTGTTGTTGTGGGAAGGGGTCCTCTGGTCAGTAGTGAATGAGGCTCTGTCAGGCTTGTTGGTCATTGGTAAAATACCACTCTTTGAACTCTGTACAGAACAGTTTTACTGTGTGTGTTGGTGTGTTTTTCAGAAACCCCAAACTCTACCTCTCATTCCATCCACAAATCAGCACAAGTCATCGATAAAAAAAAGTGTAGATACGCAATAGTGTAGAAGAGGGAAGGTTGGCTGCATTTGTGTGTGTTGGTGTGTGTGTTGGTGTGTGTGTATGTGTGTGTGTGTGCTTTTCAAAAAAACCCAAACTCTCTCTCTCTCATTCCATCCACAAATGATCACAAACCGTCTGTGAACAAAAATAAGGTATAGACACTAGATATGCAATATAATAGAAAATGCAAGGTTTGCCGCGTTTGTGTCGTTAACCGCCGAGTGCCCACACACGTGTCTGCCTTCGAAGCAGCGTGCTTGCACAAATTATATATTTATTATAATATGTGATAATGTATATTGTGATGACCCGTCCAAACATGGACGGAAACACACAGCTGATTTCTGAGTTTTGCCCATAGACTGAATGCCTTGCTGAGTTTCCCACCTGCTACTAAGTCTGTGTGTGCATGCTTGCTGGGCTGCATGTCTGTCTGAGTGCTGGTTGGCTTGAGTGTGTGTGTGGCCCGCAAGGGCACTTGCTCGCTCATTGGGCCCTCAGGGCCGGTACTTACCTGTGGTCGTGACATTGAGGGATTGCAGCAGGAAAAACACTCAAGTAGCGGGTAGGCCGGTACAGCACCCTGAAGGGGTAGATGTGCGGGTACTGGAGGCCGAACAGAAAAGACAAAAGTGGCATTTTTAGAGGCCCAGTAGTTGTAGGTTAGGTCTAGGTGAATACCAGTCCAACCAGTCTGGGTCCAGGGCCTGTACGGGCAATATCAGAGTCTGCAATGATGTTTCCCTCCGAAAGGGAGGACGTACCGGTTGCTTGGAAGGCTGAGCGGCCTGGAAGTCACCGCCCGAAGAGGCAAGCAGGCCGCTATATCTCCCAGCCGGGCGAAGAGCCCGGCCTCTTTTTCGGTGTGCAAGTTTGGCGACGCACTGGTTGGAGCGCCGGTTGGAGCAGCGCTATCCAGGAGCAGCGCTGCTGGGGGAAGGAGAAGGACACGGAGGAGGAAGAAGGACAGGAAGGGGGAGGAGCGCCAGGGGTACTTACCTGGCTGTGGTGGCAGCCATCTTCATCACCTTGGTGGGTGCTGCATCAGGGAGTCCCCAACTGGGGAGAGCCACACCAAGAAGCTTCAAGGCAGGGTTGGGCATGGCGGCCTGAGCTAGAGCAGCCATAGCTGCTTTGGGTTGCCCTTTGGGCATCTGGGCAAGGCCTAGTAGTCCACCATAGCCTCGGCCTATGAGAGTGAAGAGTGGGAGAGGCAGCCATGGCTATGGTGGACCTCAAGTGATACCTGCAGTAGAAGAGGAACTCGGACATTGATTCTGGATCAGCCATTCAGCATGGTATTATTATTTCTTGTATGAATAAGAGAAGGGGGAGATAAGGAGGAGGAGATTGTTGGGCAAAGAAGAAGAGCCTTGTCATTTGTCTGTGCTGGTGTACATCATCTTTTTCTTCTTTCTTACTTCTTCTTCTTCTTCTAATCCTCTCTCTCCTCTCAAGTTCATTCATTTCTTTCTGCAATTGGACGACATTGTACTATCTGATGGATGTGTATCTCGAAATTGGTCAGGATCATAACATTGGTATTAGAGCGGATTCTACTTGCTGGTGAGAGTTGAGTTTGCTGCCCTAACCCTAACCTAAGTGGATTGAGGGCACCACTTAGGGTTAGGGTTGGTTTGTGAAGGGAAGAGGGGCAACGTGGTTGAGGGAAGCTGCCCCCACCTGGTTAGGTCACGGAGGGTCGATGTTGAACCTAACCAGGTTGCTTGAGAGTGACATTAGGGTGGCAAGACATTTCGAGGAGGCTTCATGCAGCAATCTGAGAGAGGCGACAGTGAGAGGCACTCGCACCTGGAATCTGATTCAAGGGAGACACTTGGCAACTTAAGGGTTGCCCTCAAGTAGGCGAGCTTGAGGGTCAGCGGCCACTGAGCATCTACGGACTGCAAGTTGCTACTTTGTTCTTCAGCATCGACGGGGGATCCGGCGTTGCACTTGGGTGTTGGAGTCAGACCCTCCTAGGAGATAGGACACTAGTGTAGGGGTAGCGTTAGAGGGGTCAGGAGGATCACATGAGAGGGGGGTGAGTTCTATTCATCTCAAAGCTCAAGGCCACTCAGGTAAGTGTCGTGCACCTACAGGATGCCGATGTGTGTGTGCATGGTATGGTTTGTCCTGCTGGGGTTACTCTGGGTTTCTTTTCCTACTCCTCTGTGGTCTTGATTGTGTGATTGAATGCATGTGATCTACCTACTCACCTGATCGATGGAAAATGAAGTATCTTGATCTACATGTCGAGTCTTTCTATAGTGCTTTGTCTTTCATCTCTGAACGGTTGTAGTCTGTAGGTTCTGCCGGAAGTTGAAATTTCGTTTTTGAGTACAGTAGAAACTGAACTAAGTCCCTGAGGGACTCCTCTTGGTTGGGACCTGGCCGCGACCTACGTGGGACCTTTGGAACCCAGTGTGACCGGGCCCAAACAAGAAGAGTCGTTTGGGCCCAAATCGGTTAGGCATTAGCCCACTGTCTTCTGACTGTGTTACGGAGTTTTTTCTTCTTGGTTAGGACACCCACTGCCGAGAGGATCTCGACTGAGACGTTTTGCATGTCTTTTGGTTGCACTGTCCGTGCAACCTGTACACCACTCAATTCTCCATTGTTGCATTTAGTCACTCGTTGTCTGATTTGCTGTACGGTCACGGAGCTGGTCAGACTGGACTTGAGAGGACCTCGTATGCAGTCTGATCAGACAGTGTCGCTGGATCAGACCTCTCATATGAATTTGTTTGTTGTTCTTTGGTTTGCTACTCTCTAAATCCAAATGAAATGCCGCTCCGACTTCTCTGAGCTATTCAGTATGTTTCTCTGAGTTAATTTCCGATGCCCGTGGAGACTCGCAACCAGAAAGAAGAGAGAGAGAGGAGAGAGAGAGAAAAGGGAGAGAGGGAAAGTGACCGTCTGGAATGGGTAAGGACTGGGAAAAGGAGTGTTCGTCCAAGTAAAAAGGGGAGTGTACCTCTTGAGAGTCTAATTGATTCTTTTGCTGATTGGCGTCTCTCTGACCCACCTGCCAACACTAACGGTCTGAAAATGGCCCAACTATCCTTAGGACAATGGCGGGCCCTACTAAATGCAGCCAGCAATATGGAGAAACCGTATCTGCAAGCACTCGTAGATAGTGCTATAGAAAGGGAACGGGAACCAGAGAAGGAGAGGAAGGAACAGCTGCTGAAAAGTCAGGAGGCCGTCTTGGAAATTGTTCCCCCGCTGACCAAAGAGGAGTGTGGGGAACAACTGCACTCCATACTCACCGCTATCGTCCAAGTCCGGAGGCTTGAAGATCATACCACTCAGATCACCGACGTCTTCGCAAAATTGAAGACACTTCAGGAGGATCTGACTCATATGACCAGCAAGTACCGCGACTTGATGGTAGAGGTTGCTGCATTGCGACAGGTCCAGGTAACCAATCCTCTTCCTCTAACCCCTGGTTTCAGAGCTGCGATTGAGACTAATCTTGCCCCTCTTACCGTATCTACTTCTGCTGCTTCCCTGAGTGTGATGGTGAACCCCTCTGGACCTGCAACAGGTGCAGATTCCGTTGTTGCCGTAACAAGCAACGAGGCAGGAAATTCTGCAACTGTTGCAACCCCAAAATTTGAACCAGCAATTGCTGGTCCCAGCCACGCCGGTCCCTATGTGGATCGAAAGGCGGTGCAAATACCGTCTAAGTACGACGACAAAGAAGACATTGAATCCTGGATCAGCTCCATGAGGGCATACTTCGAGGTGCTGGGGACTCTGCCAGAGACTCAGCCAGTGATCATGGGAATGAATGTCGAGCCGGTTGTAAGGGGCTTCCTAGAAGTCCAAGCTACGCGGGTTGGGGTTCCAAAGATCGAACTGACAAGGTGGCTTAAGGCCACCCCGGTTGCCTCCCTCGAGGAGTTTCTCATTGCCAGTATAAGGATCCACACGTTGCAGCAAGGGCAAGAAGCCAGCTTGACAAAATCAAATGCAGCAAGTGGACGGGCTCCATGAAAAGCCTGCAAACCTATCTTAGCAAGATGTTTGCTACACCTGGTCTTGAACTGACTGACCAATCTTGCTTGGATGTGGTCAAGGGCGCAGTCCCCACCAGTTTTACTAATCGCCTAGGCAGGGACTTCATTGGGTATACTGAGTTCACTCTAATGAAGGACATAGTCAGTCTCGAGGCGGTAGACCTCGTCACCACAGGAGGCAGCAAAAAACCAATGGGCGGTAGGGGCGGTTCAAAGGCAGTAGTCGTTTTGTTGTGCATGACCTGCTGGAGGCTGAAGAGGAGGCCGAAGCAGATGACCCCACTCTTGGTGACGACCAAGAACAGGACGCTAATACAACCTGTTCGTCGGCCCATGAGTCTGATGTAAATCAAGAAGAAGAAAATTTTACTGCCTTTAAAAAGACTGCCAATGCATGGGGACCGAATCAGAATGCAGGGAAGAACTATGTCCAACTCCCCAAGGGAATCAAGATCCCAACAAAACCGGAGGATGCGGCCACTAAACCATGGGTCGACCTCCGGATCACTGAAAATGATTGGCGGGGTAGACTCAAGAAGGGGGTATGCCTGCATTGCCAGAAATCAAACCATAAAGTACAGGATTGCTATAGGCTGCAGGAAAACCAGACCCGGGCGTAGAGTCGACTTCAACACACTCTACAGCAAGGGAGACTGAATCTGATGCAGATCAACAGTCCTCCCTTGAAGCCCAATCATCTGCTGAAGACAAGGCTGAAGTGTGTGATGTGTTCTATGTCGAGCCTTGGGAGGAGTTTGGGGCGGTCGACTTCCACTACCACTTGGAGCTTTGGGCTGAGATTAAACAGCAGCGTGCCCAAGGGACAACAAAGTCAATCTTCTTCAAGCTTCTCATAAACCACCGCTATCTCCGTGTCTTGATTGACTGTGGTGCGACGGTTAACTTTATGTCACCTCACGGGATACAGAAAGTGGGCTTGGGAATGAAGCAAGTGGCCTTGCAGAACCCTTGTCGAACCCAAGTTGGCAACAAGGAAGTTGTCTCTTCTACGCATGCAGTCAAAGGTGTGCCCACTACCTTTGACAAGAACAAAATTGTCACCCACGCACTGAACTCCTGTGTCCTTGACAAGTGCCCCTTCGACGCTGTCCTTGGCCTGGGCTGGCTGCAGTCCAATGCGAATGGACCAAGTGGAAGGAGTCACTTCTCATGGTCAAAGATGCCCGAGGGAACGAGCTTCCTGTCCTCTTGGATGAGAAGCACGAGCCCCCAGTGACTTTTCTGAATGCTATGAAGTTCTGCAAGAAATGGCGCAAGCATAATGAGGATGAACAGTTGTATGTTGCCTTTGTTCGTCCTACTCATGTGCCCTCTACTTTTGCGGTTAATACCACTACTACCTCATCTAGTGATACTACTTCTAGTACTACTACTACTAGCACCTCTACTTCTCTACTTCCTACTACTCCAAATGATCCCACTTCAGATTCGGTTGCCTCTATTCGCAACCTGCGACCTGATCTAGATGATCCCTTTGCTAATCCTCCACCTCCACCGGTTCCACCAAACATCCAAAACCTACTCGATCGGTTTCCAGAAGTTCTGGCCGAGCCACGTGGAGTCCCCACTCGATCGGTCCGACACACCATTGAGTTGGTCGAGAGTGTTGTTCCTCCAAAGGGCTGCCTATATCGAATGAGACCCGGTGAGTTGGAGGAACTCCGACGACAGATTGACGAAATGACTGACAAAGGGTGGATCAAGCCTAGTCAGTCTGAATTTGGTGCTCCTGTCTTGTTTGTTCCAAAGAAAGGAGGCAAGCTCCACATGTGTATTGACTATCGTGGCCTAAACCGCATCACAAGAAAGAACGCCTATCCATTACCCCGAGTAGATGACTTGCTTGATGTCGCAGGTGGGTGCAAGGTCTTCTCCAAGATCGATCTCAAGTCTGGCTACCACCAGATTGAAGTCGACCCTGCGGACCAGCACAAAACTGCGTTCAAAACACGTGATGAGCCGCACAAACCACCTTCCAAAGCCTCATGGACAAAAGTCCTCCGCGAACGGATTGGCCGGTTCGTGGTGGTCTACCTCGATGACATACTAATCTTCAGCAAGTCCACGGAGGAACACCTCAAACACCTTGAGGAAGTACTGACCATCCTCAAGAAGACGCAACTTCATCTCAACTTAGAGAAAAATCTGAGTTTGGGAAGGATAGTGCCATCTATCTTGGGCACCGGTTGTTTGCTGCAGGCCTAGAGCCTGAGGCAACCAAGGTGGAGGTCATACACAACTGGCCTCAACCCGTGAATGTCCGAGAACTGCGCTCTTTTCTTGGTCTCGCGTCATACTATTGGAAGTTTGTGCCCGTGGCCTAAACCGCATCACAAGAAAGAACGTCTATCCATTACCCCGAATAGATGACTTGCTTGATGTTGCAGGGGGGTGCAAGGTCTTCTCCAAGATCGATCTCAAGTCTGGCTACCACCAGATTGAAGTCGATCCTGCGGACCAGCACAAAACTGCTTTCAAAACACGTGATGGGCTTTACGAGTTTACCGTAATGCAATTCGGTCTCATGAACGCACCAGCCACCTTCCAAAGCCTCATGGACAAAGTCCTCCGCGAACAGATTGGCCGGTTCGTGGTGGTCTACCTCGATGACATACTAATCTTCAGCAAGTCCACGGAGGAACACCTCAAGCACCTTGAGGAAGTACTGACCATCCTCAAAAAGACGCAACTTCATCTCAACTTAGAGAAAAATCTAAGTTTGGGAAGGATAGTGCCATCTATCTTGGGCACCGGTTGCCTGTTGTAGGCCTAGAGCCTGAGGCAACCAAGGTGGAGGTCATACGCAACTGGCCTCAACCCGTGAATGTCCGCGAACTGCGCTCTTTTCTTGGTCTCGCGTCATACTATCGGAAGTTTGTGCCCGTGGCCTAAACCGCATCACAAGAAAGAACGCCTATCCATTGCCCAGAATAGATGACTTGCTTGATGTCGCTGGTGGGTGCAAGGTCTTCTCCAAGATCGATCTCAAGTCTGGGTACCACCAGATTGAAGTCGATCCTGCGGACCAGCACAAAACTGCGTTCAAAACACGGATGGGCTTTACGAGTTTACTGTAATGCCCTTCGGTCTCATGAACGCACCAGCCACCTTCCAAAGCCTCATGGACAAAGTCCTCCGTGAACAGATTGGCCGGTTTGTGGTGGTCTACCTCGATGACATACTAATCTTCAGCAAGTCCACGGAGGAACACCTCAAGCACCTTGAGGAAGGAGGAGATTGTTGGGCGAAGAAGAAGAGCCTTGTCATTTGACTGTGCTGGTGTACATCATCTTCTTCTTCTTCTTTCTTACTTCTTCTTCTTCTTCTAATCCTCTCTCTTCTCTCAGGTTCATTCATTTTTTTCTGCAATTGGACGGCATTGTACTACCGGATGGATTTGTATCTCGAAATTGGTCAGGATCATAACAATATCGTCAAACAGAGCTGCCCGGTAAACTGTAGGCAGAGAGGGAGAAGAGGGCAACAAACGAGGGGCTGTGACAAACTGTTTCGTCGGAGTTTGTGTTCTAGTCCATAAAAGGAAGGGCAGAAGGCAACATACTGAATTAGTTGTACCACAACACAAGGCTCCACCAACAAGAAAGCACTGACCATATCCGGAGTTGGAAAAACTTGCAGAGCCCTCTGAGTTGGTTCACAAAGCCACAAAAATTAATCGCGCAAGTACAACAGCACTGACCCTGCTATTCATCCCAGACGGTGTGTGTGTGTGTGTGTGTGTGTGTGTGTGTGTGTGTGTGTGTGTGTGTGAGAGAGAGAGAGAGAGAGAGAGAGAGAGCGACACACACACACACACACAGAGAGAGAGAGAGAGAGAGAGAGAGAGAGAGAGAGAGAGAGAGAGAGAGAGAGAGAGAGAGAGAGAGAGAG